CTTTTTTCCTTGTGTCAGAAACCTATGGAGTGCCTTTTCATAAAGAAATACTGTATCTACTTCCAGAATGGCTCTTGTCTTCACGGGGCTGATAATCTAAGCAGGAGATCCCATATAGCACAGGGCGGGGATGGAGTGTATGGTTAAGGAGTGACTCAGACAAATCCGGGATGTCTGCATTTGATTCCACTTTATGATTTTTCCTTCTTTTCCCCAAATTCCTTTTTTTTTTTTTTAATCTGCCCCCTTTCCTTGTTCCCAGCTGCTGCGGAGGAGAGACTCTGACCTCACCTCTGTTGGTATCAGGCAGACCCCATTGTGCGGCTTGTCATGTTCCTGGACTGCCCGACTCTGAGACTGTGACAGCTGGGGTGGCCATCGTGGGCAGAGAAGAGATACTCTTATTTCTCTTGACGATGCTGCTTTTCTGTGATGTGGGCAACCCCTGGGCCCCAGCTGCACAGGATAAGAGAGGAGCACCAGTCTGTAGTGGGAAGGCCTAGGCAGGGGTCTCAGGGATGCCCTCACCTCTCGCCCGTCTCCTTGATGGGAACGGAACACGCTGGTTCTGAAAGCCCTTCTAGTCCTTTAGTGGGCTGAGTAGTTTGAACCATGAGTAAAAAGCCCTGGTTGTAATGAGCTTGACATTCTTTTAAAGAATGGCAGGTACGTTTGTCCTTGGTGAAATTTAGAAATCTTTCTCAGAATCCAACCTGCAACCCAGTTGTTAGCACAGGTCAATTAATGAAACACTTAGTGTGCATCTACCATGTGCCAGGCACTGCACTAGCTGGGGGCACAGACATTTAGGGCTCTGCTTATCGGGGCCATTTGGCCCAGGGAGGCATCGAGGTAAGGAAGAAACAACTGGGTCTAACACAACTTTATAATTTTCATTGTTCTTGAAATTTGAGAATAAAATTTCCTTCTGTTAATTCTCTTGTGATAAAGTAAGCTTATATATTAATATGTGCATAATTATTAATCTAAGCACACTTGAATGGTACACTTCAGAATTAAATTATGAAGCACAGTCTTATTAATGCAGAAAGAAAATGGATGGGCATGCTGACGGATTTAGTTACCTTTTATAAACGCTGAATTGGCTTCTTGAATTAAAATAATCATATGTGTCTCTTGAAAAGATATTTACACTGACAGTTTATAAATGCTAACTAAATTCCTTTCAGACCAAGCAGCCGCCAGGTCCCTTAGACTTGGAGGCATTTAATTTAGGAAAGGTGAAGTTTAAGATTAATTAATCATTTTAAGTTATTTTTTTACATTATTTATAATGTTTTAGTTAAGTGCTCCAAAGAACAGCCAAAGTCATCTTTTTGCAGGGAGCATCTTTTTAATGTTTTCTTTTTTTTTTTTTTAAAGATTTTATTTATTATTTGACAGAGAGAGAATGAGAGAGAGAGCATGAGAGGGGGGAGGGTCCGAGGGAGAAGCAGACCCCCTGACGAGCAGGGAGCCCGATGCGGGACTCGATTCGGGGACTCCAGGATCATGACCTGAGCCGAAGGCAGTCGCTTAACCGACTGAGCCACCCAGGCGCCCCTTTTTATGTTTTCAAATCTGTTATTCAAAAGCCGTGTTTTTGGTAAATTTGGATGTTATGTCTTTCCAGGAGTACTTACCACCGTTTTGTGCACAGTCTGATTTTGATTTTCGTGGTTCTGAGTGGATTCGTGTCATTGGATCCGAGACACTGTTTCGGACCACTTTTCTTTTCTAAAGACCTCTTGGCATGAAAACCTTTCAGTGGATGTCCCACATCCTCTTCCTTTTAAGCATTTCCTTTAATTTGACCTTTCTGATTTGAAATTCTAGTGTTTTAAATTCTTTTTTTCCACCCAGTCAGCATCCTGTGGGCGTGGGTGCTGGAGAAGCGGGGTATGTCTGCCAGTGCATACAGTGCATATAGGGGAGGCAGGAAAGCCCAAGGAGAGAGCAGAGGCTTCTCCAGCAGATGGTGTGAACCTCTGCACAGTGGCCGAGAGGCTCTGTTAGTTTCCTCAACAATAACATGGAAATAATAATACCTGTCTCGTGGAGGTGTTGGGGAGATTGCACAAGATCATATGTGTAAAGCGTCTGGCAGGATGCTCGCTGCTCAGAGGAGCCAAGTAAAAGGTAGCTAATAATTAAATCCGAGCGGTCTTTGATTTTGTCGTTTTGACCCAATATTCCTGTTAAATATCTACATTCGCACCCTGTAGTTTGCATCAGTATCTGAAACCACACAAAAATTAACTGTGCAAAACTATATTGATAAGCATATATTAATGACCCTTAGTGCTTAAGTAATTCTGTTTTGATGACAGTTTTTAATTCAGGTGAGAAGGTAGGCCCACCTCTGTACATGCCCACAAAGTAGGGCAGAATGCATCTGCTTGAAGTATTACTGGAGTCGAGTTCCTGCGAATGCGTGGGCACTGCAGAATGGACTTTATACTTTAAAGGGACTAAGAAAAGACCAAAATGTTTTGCAAATGAAGTGATGCGATTTAAAAAGAACAGCCACTATTTGTCTCTTTTTTCAGACCTGTCTCTGTTTGAAAGGGCTGGGCCCGGCTTGGATGCCCAGACTCGAAAGTTCCCTGAACCAGGAGAACCATGTGCGAAACCCATCAAGGAGGTAAGACTTCCCCAAAACCCAACTTCATTGTTTTTCTTGGAGGTGGAGAGAGCGGCTGTTCAGAAAACTTTGCAAGGTTTCTGGGAGTTGTTATGAATTGAAGGTCGTTCCCTGGACTGGATTCGTAGGAGGCACCAGAGTCCGCCCGCCAGTCAACGTGGAAGCAGATGTGTGCTGGCGATCCCGAAGCCGAGGAAAGAAAATCTGGAAGAAAAACTCACTTGGCTTGCTTAGTCTCACTTTGCATCTCTCCAGGCTGTCTTTCCCCCGATTTCCACTAGAGGGCACCAGCTACCAGCTGTGCCGGCGCTCCACGTAGGGGTCTTTACTGATCCTGGGCCCAGGAGACAGTTGGGGCCTGCTGCAGAGACTCCGGAGGAGTCTGGGTCCAGTCTGGGGCTCAGGGTTCCCTCAAGAGGTGACCCTTCAACTCCCTGGAGAAGGTGGGGCCTGTGAGAGCGCTACACTTCAGGACTGGGATTTCAGAAACCCCAGTGAGGGTTTTTTGATTTTTGATCTTCTCTGTCTCTTTGTTTCTAAAGGGCACTGCAGGGATGAATTCTGTTGGATCCCAGGGCTCTGGGGACTATATTTCCTGAACGCCAATCGCCAGACCCCTCCAAACACATATGTCCTTCTGGGAGCACCAGACTGGAATATTTGAAACCAGAAGTCCAGAAAATCCAGAACAGATGTTTTCCCTGAAAAAGGCAGGCTCTGCGTCCCAGAGCCCTTGGGCCTCCCTGCCCCTGGCCAGTGTTGCTCCTGCGTTGGCCCTCTTATGAGTGAGGGGGATTACTCCTGACTTCACATTCTCAGGAACAGGTCAGTGGTTCATGGTGCCCTAAGTGGGCTCCCTCTCAGCATGCTCTGTAAGCTGCAGGATATGATGAATGTCTCCCAATCCTGCCCTGCTTGCCCCATTCTTTGTTACTGCTGGCTCTGTGTTGGAGGACCTAATTTTGAGCGACCTGCCCCTGTATAAATTACTTCTGCCACTTGGCAACATTTACTGAGAATAACCGGGAGCCACATTTCCACTGCATTCTGTGTCTTACAGCAATATGTTTTGCACATATTATGCCTTTGGCTACTTCCACAACCATAAGGCATGACTCTTACCCTTCCCACCTCACAGATGAGAAAAACAAGGCCCATTAACGAGTAAGTGCTGGCCCCAGGACTTGAACTCACATAATCTGATTCAACAGAGAGTGCTTGTATTTTTTTTTTTCAGGCGTTGGCAGCAGTAAGAATTTATTTGGGTTTGACTCCAGGGAAAACCTTCAGAATCCTTGAGCTTCACATGGGTGTGTGTTACGGGGAGATTATGACATCCCCTCCAGACACTCTTCAGAAATGGCAGCATGTATTTTTCCTGGACAGGTTGAAGGGCATCCTTCCTTAAGGCAGGAGGATGAACTGGACGAGCCCTGGAGGTGGCTTCTAACCATTCTGTTCTGTAGAACAAAGCCCCCAGAAATAGACAAACGGGTCCCTTTTACCACAAGAACATCTGTGGATAATTGTATGAAAACAAGCTATTTCCAGGCTAATTAATAACTACCGTGGAGTCTTTTAGGAGGTGCTCATCTCGGTAATAGATTAAAAAATTCTATTTGGCTTAAGACCTCATTGTTCAGGAGCTGGGCGGCTGTCCCGCGAGAAGAATGCAGTTCTCCCCGTGGCCACAGGGTGGCGGAGTGACCTTAAGCTTCTTTCTCGCCTTTCAGTCTCAGGACCGGAAGCAAAGCTCTAGTGAAAATGAGCAAAATGGAGCAACTAGGAGCGTGTTCAGAGTGGCATGGGCTTCACGTTTATAACCTCTTAAAAAGGGAGCGGAAAGAGCTCTGTTTCCAGAACGTCAGTGATGGGACGTAGTGAGGAGAGGGGATGCTGGCTTCTGAGGTCGTAGGAGAGGCTCTCGGCGTGGAGGGGCCGAGGGCACTCCTGGGCCCTGTTACCTGGCAGATGTTGCGTGGGCTCCGTCCTGCAGAAGCCCACTTTGGGCATTCCCAAACTACTGCCTTCCCCTCTTCTCTCTCTGAACTTTCTTTCCTGGGGCTCTGCTTTTAGAGATGTCTTGTCCCCAGTTTTTACTCATTCTGTCTTAAAGGGATGGTTTAAGTGCCATAGAAAACGGGGGGAGGGAGTTAATGCACTGTCCAACGGGCTACCAATCCCTTTCTGAACCTCAAATTTAGACATATGTATCTGACATGAGTGGCTATAGTTTGGGGAATGGGGAGGAAATATTTAAATGAGGGACTGATTTGGGCTCTGGGTTTACAGGCACCACGCGCACACGCGCGCGCGCACACGCACGGCGGGAGCATAGATGCATCTAGACTGCGTTTACTGCGTGCCTACTCTGCGCATGTGCTGCAGGTGTGAGCCGCTGTCGGGACGCTGCGCGCCTCAGTAGGCTCCCGCAGCAGGGCGAGCGGGCAGGAGCCCCACGGATCCGGCTGCTGCCCACACGGAGACTCTGGGCTTTCACGTCCTGCAGCCCAGCCAGGCTCCAGATGCCGCTGTCTAAAGACGGCAGAGGTTCAGTGTCATTAGCTCTAGTCTTCTTAGCAAGATTAGCAGAAGCAATGTTGAATTTCAGTGTGGGACCTGTTTCCACGCACATCTTGAGGGATGGAGCAGCCTGTAACATTTTTCCGTAGCAGTGATTAATATTCATTTTCTCACATTTGAGGCTGTGGCCGTGTGTGTGCACGCGTGCTTGCCTGTGTTTGTGGATCAGACACACGCACACGTAACACGCACGCGCCCTGGTGCGGGGAGGCGTTGGGGCTCACGTTTCAAGACAGAGGCTGGATGTAACAGCTTTTTTCCTCCTTCCGGGTGCGCTTTCGCATCAACAGTTATGCCATTCATTTACTAATCTTTTATAGATAGTCATAGAACACCTACTGTGTGCCAGGCAAATTAAAATGAATCAGAGTCATGCTTATTTTTGGAAAAAGGCAGACCCCAGGGAATCCATCCTTTATTGGGTAGGGAAAAAGCGGTGCCGGAGCCCTGTGGCTGAGGATGTGGGCTTGGGGCTGCTGCCTGGGTGGGCTTCGTGGCCCAGGCTCTTCTGTCTGTGCATCATTCACTCACGCTCCTCATCCAAATATGTGGGTAATAGTAGCACTCACATCACTGCATTGCTGCCAGGAGCAAATGAATGCATAGAAGGCTTTGCACCATGCATGCGGGAAGAATGCCATTACTAGTCTTTTGGATCTAGTCTAACTAGATCATTTTGGATCCAGTTACCTGTACAGAAAGCTCACCTGATAATCCATTTTCTGAGTCTTCACCAACTGCCTTACTTGCTACAAAGAAAAATATTGGACGATTTCATCCCTATACTAGATATGAAAATATAACTTTCAATTGCTGCAATCACTGCCAGGGAGAACTTATTGTCCTTTAACATTCAATATGTTGGAGGCATGCTACAGGCCCTTGCTTCTTACCCAAGAGTCATTATTATTTGGGAGCTGGAGTTCTTACAATGGTAGAATGTCACTTTCTATTTAAGTAATATATATCCCCAACAATGTTTCATGTACTGGACCACAGATTACTCTTTCTTAATAAATACCTCAGGATAAGAAAAAAAAAAAAATTACAGAGCCATTACTAGTCTTCCTTTCTCTTTGTGAACTAAAGCTTCCCATGATCCTCTTTTCACAGAGATCTCGCCTGTGCTTACGGACCAGCTAACGTGGAGACCGAAGGTGAACTGGACACAGCTGTTTCTGTTCTGGAAGCTGGGGACGGCTGGGGAGGCATGTCATCGTGGCCACCGGGGAAGGGGTAGGTGGTGACACGATGACCTCAGAGATGAGCCCATTACTCTGGCCAGTTGGGCATGGGGTGAAGATGAGGGACAGCTGCTGTGGCCCCTGACTCTGAGCGGGTTGCCTGCCTGGGAGCCACCATCCTTCTGAGGCATCACTTCCAAGGCTTTTCAGCAACTGCAATCCCTTAAGGAGAATAAGCTCCTCAGAAACAAAGAAGGACTCTTCGTCGGTCAAGAGGAGTCTAGGGCATCAGGGAATCGCCTTTAGAGTCAGTCTGAGGTCTGGTTTCTGAGGGATCCCCAGGTCATGGAGCCCCTGTGTCACCTTTTAGGACTCGGTGGTCAGGTCATGCTGGTGCCCATGAGACAAGATGCCCCTGACAAGTTCGTGTCTGCACATTTTACACCCAGAGCCATGCCTCACCCAAGTTCTTCCAACTTCATGCTGAAAGTGTGTGGAGAGGAACCATCTGCTTCATTCCCCAAGCCCTGAGTTCCCTGGGTCGAGAATGAGTGACCCCAAGCTCTCAGAGGAGGGTGGACCAGCTCCTGTCAGGGAGGCTGCAAAAGGCTGTGAGCTGAGATCCACTAGGGACCTCATGCTGCCCTCACCCCAGGACTGTGGCGGCTAATGGGCCAGGGGGTGGTCTTGTGGTAGCTCGGTGCCAGAGAGGGGGGCGGGGGCTCCCTAAGTGTTTGCTGGGAGAGAGATGGAGAGAATGCAAGAGTGAGCGTCAGGGCCCCACACCGGGCATCAGAGGGGCAACGAGATACCGTGGGAGGGGTGACACTAGGGATCTGAGATTCTCTGTTAGCCTGGTGACCTTGAGTAGGCTATTTCACCCTGTGGGGCCTCAGTTTTCAAATCTGTAGAACAGGGAAGAAGAAATGCTGTTGCCTCCCTCACTGGGCTGGACCAATGTCAGTGAGTCTGGCTGGTGTGTGCAGGCAGCTGTGGTCCTTGAAGAGGGGCTTCTCCTTGGGGACTGGCATTCATGAGGTGTCCCCTGTCTCTAGCTCTGCCTCTCAGGTGAGGTGTGTGCGGGTGTCCACAGCCCATCCGTCCTCATCACGGGGCTAACACATGCCCTTTCCAGGGCCAGGGCCAGGTCAGTTTTGAAGTCATGAGGCTCTGACCTCACCGAACTTCTCCCTCCCTCGCTGTCCCTCCCACCTGTGCTGTGCTCCCTCGCACTGGGGTGTCTGTGGGACACCTCACCTTTGCCGACGCGCTTTCCTTCAACCAAACCCCAGGTTTCTCAGTTTCTAGGACTGGCCGTCCAGAGGACTGGGCAATATGGGCATCATGGTGGTAACACCGTAACCACCCCCCTCAGCTCCCGTGCCCACCCACAGCACTGTCTCTGCAGTGCCTCAAACGTAAGGTCTGCATAAAGAAAACTATTAGGGTCTCATGACAGGGCCAAAGGGGCCAGAAATTCCCTTACGCTTCAAACTATTCAGGAGGCTTTGCCCTGGTGTCGGCTTTGCTGTTGTGCTTTCCCCTCCTTCACCCCCATTGGAGCTTGTGGTGAGGACACCTACAGCACCCCCTCTCTCTGGACTCCTCCTCACACCCCCATGCCCTCGGCACCCACACTGCTTGTCCCCCTGCAGGTCAGGGGGACAAGGGACCTGGACAGGTTCCTGCTCCCAGGTCTGGTAGGGTTTGGGGTTTGCAGCATGACTAAGCTATGTCACCATTGACAAGGGGCTCGTAGGCTGGTTGGGGACGACAGACAGGCTTTAGATCTGGCCTCATTCTTGCATCTGTAAAATGGGTTTAGCTGGGTCCCTCAGTTGAGCAACACCAACCATCCTGGGTGTTCCTCAGATCCACTGATGCCAGACCATCCTGTGTCCCCATTGGCAAGCGTCTACTGAGCACTTCCTACATTCCCAGTACTGGCCTGGGTACTGGGGGGATTTGCAGTGAACAAGGCTGTTTTCTCCATGGGGTTTCTGGTCTAGTGGAGAAACAGAGGAAACCTAAAACTACATAAATTATTATATGTATTAATGTGGCAATAATTACATAATTGTTATCCTCACTTCCGTCCTGTGGCATGCAAGGGTGCCGCTCCTTCGTGGGAAGCCCTGGGTCTGTCTTCTGTTCATGAGCCCCATTTGCTTATTTCAATGTGTTCATGCAGCCCTTCTCCACCAGTGTTCCTCTTGGAAACCCCAGAACACAGAAAAATGATCTGAGTGACAATTTTCTCAACTCTGCCAAGGATCGTTCGTAACGAGGACCACTCTGGATGCAGAGGAGAGAAGCAAATCCACTACATACCATGGATGCCTTAGGGCACTGGACTTTTTTTTTTTTTTCTCTCTGCTTTTTGTGACATGTTCTTCCATTTTTCATCTTCTGAACATTGGTTTCTCTCACTGCCTCTTCTGAAACTTTTATTTTTTAATCTCCCTTCTTGGATTATTTCTTCTATCCTTTATCCTCCAGAGCACAGAGGAAGAAAGAAACACAGCACAGTGGTGGGGTACTTTCATTGGCGATGGGTGATGGTTTTTCTTGATTTGAAGATCTACACACAGAGGAGTGGCATCTAAGATAAAACATGTTGCCATCAGCAGCCAAACAGGACTTTTTTCAGGTTAACCTTTAAGAAGAAAATAAAAGCCATCGCCCCATCCCCAGTGGTGGCTGACTTTGCTAATAGAACAAGGTACTCCTGGATGGCAGGGGAACCCGGGCAAAATGGCAGCTGGGCAGAAGGAGGCGTTCTGGCTGATGGTGGTGGGTTTCGCCGACTGAGTGTGGGAATAAGAGGCTCCGGTCATGAGCAGTAGCCCCTGGGGCCACTGCTGTGCCTTTTTCTCCTGACTCCTCTCTGGACCCCCGACTCCATTTGGCAGGGGCATAAACCCCATTCAGTGTGGGCTGAGGCTATGGTCCCTACTCACTGTAGTCTGGGGTCTCTCTAACCCTGGGTGGGGCGCTTGGAGGACAAGGAGCTAAGTAGGACTTCCTTCCAAAAATGCCCGGCCCAGCTGTGACTTTGGTGCTGAAAGAAGTTTTGCAGGTTGAAGACAATGATTTGTTATTGTTATTGTTTCATATTCATCAAAGGCCTGCAATATGCTGGACGACATTGAAAAAGATTCGTGGTGGGTAAAATTAAACTGAGCTCAGAACTGGCCTGGTGCCTCCGGGTCTGGCAGGCCAAGTTCTGGCGTCTTCTACTTGTCCAGAGGAATGACCTCAACAAACCAGGAATGAGAAGCCCCCACCAACATAGCCCTGCTGATAATTCTCCTTAAAAAGGGCATTCATTCTCATCATTTTCCCTGCCTTGGGTTAAAGAGGGGACAGTGATATGGTTACCTTCAAGAATGAAAGATCCAGGGAGGGAAGGTGACCCAAAAATGTAGCAAAGCTAATCAGTGTAAACAACATCTTTGAGCCAAATCTATGACATCAGTGAAGCTGGGCTTCAGTCCTTCCCTCCCTAAGGGGGGTGGGCTCCTCATTCTCCCTCTCCCTTCAAGACCACCTGCCAGGAAATGATTACATTCTCATTCCAACTAAAGAATGTTTAAAAAGAGCTGATAGGCCCCAAATGAAGGGATGGAATCTGAAACCAGTCAGTCTAGAATTACCTGGTCTGCACTTGTGAGGTATTCTTCCTGAGTCTCCTGAAGCTCCCCAAAGGAAAGTAACCTTGCCACAACCAATCTACTCTCTGCTGGTAAAACTTCCTTGTCTCACTCTCTTCTGCCTATAAAATTTGGTCATGGGTTGGGTTAGAATGACTCTAGGTCACCCACCAACCTCATGAAAATGTCCATGGTACAAGGTAAACTGTAAAACAACACACAATCCCCAACCCTGTGGTACATCCCTCTTAGCTATTATTTGGCTCCAAGTTACCCAAGGCTTGGTGAAAGAAATGTCATCCTTGAATCCTAAAGAGTTGAGTATGCTATTTTCTGTCATACCTGCTTATTTTATGTCTAAGAACTGTGGTCCTGGAAGCTGAAAGTGTCAACAAAAAAACAAAATCTTAAAACAACCTAAAATACAATGACCATCATGGGGAATGTTCCAATTAGACAAGATCATTCATTTAAGACATGTACTTGAAAGCAAGGGTTCCTGAGTTAAACAGACAGAATGGGATACCTATTTTAATTGGTATTCATAAGCTTCCCAAAGGCTTTAAGATTTCAAAATAGCTTTTTTTGAAAGATTCATTGCAAAAACTAATGAAAAATTAAAGACACAAGAGGTATCTAAAACAAAAGATTATAAGGCTGTCATGACTCCTACTGTTCTTCTCTATCCTCTTTTACCTTCATACTCATTCCACTTATCCTCTGTCTAAATTGTCTTTCCATTCTGAAGAGACTACACAACCATAAACAAAAGTCTACCACGTTAATGACCTTAAAGATGCCCCCCATATTTACCTTTGAAGGAGCACTCCCATACGGACCCATCTAGGATGGATGGAACTCTGAGGGGTTTTCTGGTAAACTTCTATGTCGTTCCCTTAAACAGCTAAGGGAAACTAAAATTAAAATTAATGGACAAGCTTACCAAGTTATGGCAGCTAATAGAGCCTACGGATGGGATCCTTTGCCAGTGAAGGGTGAGAGTTCTTACCAGAATTTCTACCTGTAGTGCCCAGTCAACAGAGGAAAATAAAATTTTCATGTGATCCCTTCCTTTTCAAATCCAGACCCATTGGATATACGGACAGCCATTACCTTCTTGTTCGTCTTGTTTTGTGTACTGATAATTTGGCTTTGATCAGGCTGGGGGCCCCAAAATATGACCAGACAGAAATGTGGTTTGCACCCCATTTGTGACAATCTATGTGTGGACAGAGCTCCATTTGTGGCTGGGGTCCTACCAAACTGTTGCCAGACCTCAGGGGAATTGTCAAAGTCTTGCTTTCTTCTGGTTATCTTTGGGAGTGGCTCTGGATCTTGGGAGGGTAAGGTCTATACCCTCTTTGGGCTTGCCTCTTATATCCAGGGCAGGTTATTTAATATTTCCAGGAACATTTACTCTTTGTCTCGGGTTTCCGCCCGAGAAAGGATTTTTTTTAGGTACCTCTGTGGTCAGAAGTCAGCCAAATGGGAAGCTGATATTCAGAGCCTGGTAGAAATATTTTTCTCCCCTAAGCTAAATGTATCCAGGGGGTGAGGGAGGACACCTCTGAAGCCTTTTTGAAAGGATTTACTAAGACATTCCAAAGACACACAGCTCTAAGTCCAGAACATAGAAATAATGTGGTTTGATAGGCCGATCAGCTCCTTGACATAATTTAAGCTGCAACCCAATTCTTTGAAGAATTAAAAGCAACTGTCCTTATCTTACAAATCTTGGCAAAACCAGAAATGCAGCTCTAGAACAATTCAAAGTCCACCTACCTTTTTGCCAATCGCAGAAATTCCCCTATTTATCTGAAAAGGCTTGTAAATATTGTAAGAATTCTGGCCTTAAGAAACAAAATTCTTTCCTGAAGCAACTTGCATTCTTTTATTTATTTATTTATTTTTTAAAGATTTT